AGCAGTTAGGGGGCGATCAGGCTGGTAGGCAGAAGCAAATAGGGGTAATCAGGCAGGCAGGCAGGTGAGTAGTTAGGAGCCAGCAGTCCTGGATTGTGAGAGGGATGTCCCAGATTGGAGAGGGTGCAGGCCAGGCTGAGGGACACCCCCCCTCCTGTGCATGAATTTCATGCACTGGGCCTCTAGTATCTTATAAGATTAAAACAGCAGTGTGCCAGATATATGTTTAAGGATGTTTATTTCAGCACTGTTCATTGTGACACAATACTGGAAACAAAGATAATAAGCATCAATACGATAATGGTTGAATAAATTATGGTACATCCACATGATAGAGCATCTTTCAGTCATTGAGAATAATTAATTAAAACTATATCAGTTAACTTTAAAGGATTTCTGTGAGGCTGAGCTGAGAAATTGCATAATAGTAACTAATTTTTTAAAATGACCAAGTTTAAAACAGATAATTGATAGATTTAAAGATGAATGCAGAAATAGAAAAAAAGATGGGTGAATATTTACACATGATTATTTCAGCCTAAATAAAATTACAGAACAATACACACCAGTCTGTTTAAACATGCTAACTTATGTTAGTGAAGGGAAAGGTGAGAGTTGGTTTCCAGTGAAACTGGAAACAAAGGTTGATGAGAGCATTTAAATAGATACAGATATAAACAGGTAATTGTCTGTTCTATAGCAGAGACAACTTTGATAGTATTATCCTATTTGTGAGGAGAAAATATTAAATCCATAATTGATGACCTATATTTGATGTGTAGTTGGTAAGATAAAAAAATAAAATATAAGTAATACATATAAAATTATATACATATATATATATATATATATATATATATATATATATATATATGGCTAATATGCAAAGTGCCCCCACGAGAGTTCGATCAAGAGACCGGGAGTTCTACTTGGCTGTAGGCACATCCTCAGATCCTCAGTGGGGGGTGTGCAGGAGGTGGCTGGTCGATGTTTCTCACTCATCAATGTTTCTAACTATCGTTCTCCCTTCCTCTCTGTAAAAAATCAATAAAATATATTAAAAAAAGAGAGAGAGAGAGAGAGACCAGGAGTTCTATCGCTCACTATGACATGAGCTGATGACCAGGAGGCAGCACAGAATGAAGAAAGGCCCCAGTCGGCAGCCAGAAGGAAGGCCCTGGACAGCAGCCTGAAGGCCCTGACTGGCCCTGATTGCCAACCAGGCCTAGGTACCATACCTGTGCACAAATTTCATGCACCGGGCCTCTAATCTATCTATCTATATATATATATATATATATATATATATATATATATATATAGGCTAAGTGTCCACCCATCTGACCAGTAGCTATGATGTGCACTGACCACCAGGGGACAGACACTCAATGCAGGAGCTGCCATGACATGCACTGGCTATTTAAAAATAAATGGCACCATGGACCTGGTGCCGACAAACCAACACTTGGCTTCCCCCAAGTGGGACACAGGCCCACCACCACCCCAGAGTGACACCCCACCAAATCCCAGCCAATGCTGCCAAGACCCCATGGTGCAAAATGCAGCCCATAGCTCAGCCCAGCCCAGAAATGGTTTCTGTGGGCACTGGGTAATGACATCATATAGCAATGCCTGGCTTCCTCTCCCTAGCAGCTAGCATCCTTAGAGTTTCTTCAGCCTAGGAACCCGACTTGCTTTATAGCCAGGTGCAAAAATTTTACACTTTAACCAAATGTTTGTGAAGGATTTTCTTGTGCCTCATCTCATTTGATCCTCATAGAAGTCCAGGAATAGGTAGATAGGAGACTCAGTAGAATCCTATTTTTTTTTTCATTAGCAAGACATGCATAATGATATTAAAATATTTCTTCTAGAGTTCCAGTTTTTTTTTTTCCTTGCAGAGACCTTTTAAGGCACCTACTAGTCAATAAAAGTATCTTCCTCCCCCCCCACTTCCACACCAAGGTGGTACCCTCTCCAGGATTTTTTATATATATAAATAAATATAAAAAATATTTCTTCTAATTAATCTCCTTTTAATGTGCACAAATCCATGCACTGGGACACTAGTTGTATTGTAAAAACAAAATAAAACCAGGAAAATATCCTATCATGACACCAGAAACATTCAAGAAAAATTCAAGATATTCATCATTTCAATAATGTTCCCAGACTTCTTTCTTGCCACATCTTCAGCAGATATTACACTGCAGTAATTGTTCTAAATGCTTCTAGTGACACACAAGTACACACAAAATAAAATGCATGTATTATGTTATTTCATGCCTTTGATCAAACTGTGTGCTATTGATACCCATGTCTAGAATTCTGTTTGAAATCAGATAATATTCTGTAAATGCTTATTAAATAAGTTAGTAAAGAAATGAATGAATGAATATCACTGTCTCTGACAGGAATTTCTTTCCCCTACTTCTTTGTTTGATTATGTTTATGCCTCTTCAAATTTTAGCTTATGGATAATTTCTTCCCAAGAATATTCCCTGAACTCCCCTGAGGAGCATTCCTCTTCCATGTACCTCAACTTCCTATTCATCCCACCTACCAGCACTTCTTACCACATTAGATTGCTTATAGCAGATTTCATGTGTTTATCTATTCCTCAATAGACAAAAAACAATTAAATGAGAGTATCTGAAAATAATTTTTCTTTAGGCACCTTCTCTCTAGCATAGTGCCTGGTATTTAATGGATGTTCGATTAATGTTTGTTAAACTAAAATTATAAACTGAAGAAAGTAGTAGACTTCTACTTTTAAAATTATGCATAAATTTCTATTATTTCCACTTTGAAAACTTAACCCCCAACAAATCTAAAATTCAGTAGTCAACACAAAAACAAAACAATTACAGGAGAGAAATTTCCAGAACTTAAGGATAGGCAACTTCCCAGAACTCAAGATTAAAGAGACCAACCAACTAATCATATGATTATCTTTCAAAATTCATGTAGGAGGCATCTTTATGGAATTTTAGAATGCCAAGGATAAAGAGAAGATCAACAAAGTTCTTTGAAAGCAGAAATAACAATATTATTTACAAAGAGTCAAGAATCACAATTGTTTTGGACTTTATCACAACAAAATCAAAAACAAACTATAACATTTTAAGTGGGTAATGTTTTAAATATAAATTTTATGCCAACTAAAGTAGTAATCATAGGTGAAGGTAAAATATAGTTATTCCAAAACAGGAAAAGTATCTCAAAAACTACCTTTTCATAGAAAAGTACAGAAGGATTGTCTCTACAGAAATAGATACATAAAATAAAAATAACTGATAAAAGGGGAGCATGGATAGAGTATAAAAATAAATGAAAGAAGACAGACATCTTCAGAATGATAGTTTATAGAACCGCAAGCCTGGAGAACAATTATCCAATAATTTGGATGAGGCTGCTGAGGAGACTTGAACTGACATATTATTAGACACTTTCATCATGTGGAAAATTGTACCAACCTTTCAGAAGATATAGGAGGATGTAGAAACAGGTTCAAAGAAATCTAGACAACTATAATGATAGCGAATGAAATCTAGTAACATAAAGTAGGATACTGTATTATGAACAAATAGGTTTCATCTTAGAAATGAGAGGTGGGTTGAACATTCATAAATTTGTAAAAGCAATTTATCAATATATAATATTATTAATTTAATAATTTGACTAGTTTACTTTTATTTGATTCACAATATCAACAAGCTAAAACAGAAGATACACAATTATCTCAATTGAAGCAGAACATGATTTTAGAAAATTCAACATACATTTATGATAACAAGTCTCAACAAACTAGGAAAAGACGGACATTTACTCAAATTGATAAAGGGCACCTGTGAAAAACCTGCAACTATCATTATATCTATCTAGATGCCCAGCGCATGAATTCATGCATGGGTGGGGTCTGGCCGGCCAGCCCCGATGGGGGCCAATGGGGCCGGGCCATTGGGGGGAGGGCTATGGGAGGTTGGCCGGCTGGCTCCGCCCCTGATCAAGGTGGGGGTCAATTAGGAGCAGGGCTGGCCATGGGGAGGGGCCTTGGGAGGTTGCTGGGGCCAATTGAGGGCCCAATCAGGCCGGTTGGCCACTGCAGTGTGTGTCCTAGTGACCGATTGTTTCAGTCGTTCCTCCATTTCTACAACTTGGCTTTTATATATATAGATGCTTTACCTTTAACATTGGAAAAGAGGGTAGAAGCCTGGAGGGCAAGTTCCCTCATAGAAAACTTTTAGACGGACTTCAGTATTTTAAATTTTGTGGTACTTTGTATATGTATGAAATGTATTACTTTAGTAAATATAAAATTTAATTTAAAAATAGTGCTATGGTTTATAAACACAAAATAAAGTAATAAACCTAGGAAAGTGAGCTGTATTTTGCCTACATGTTAAAGTGCTTTGAGTCTGATGTCTTTATGTTTAATCTGGAATTACCATTTCAGCATTGAGTCCTTACATTTAAGTACTACATACTTATTAAGCTGGTTTTTCACAAAAATCTATAACATGTAAGAAAGGTAAATCAGTTTCCAAAAAAGTGGAAGTGAGTCCACATGAAATGAAGTGATAAAAGCCAAAACCAAGGCCCTTGCCTGTACAAAGGGTCCAATCTGGTTAGTGAGAAAATATGTGAAAAATGACATTGCCAAAACAATGTAGGAAAATAAACCTGTTCTTCCCCAGCTGTCACTTCGGAAGACAGATGACAAGCTGGTTCACACCATGTTGTTTGATGGATTACACTTTAATACATTATCCTCCTCAGGAATGTGTATTTTAATAAGTAAAAAAGACTAAACCAGTGAAGTGATAAGGGCAGTATTTTAAGCATCTACACAGATTTGTAGAAGGAACTTTAAGGGGCTTGGGAGTTTGCTGGCATCACCAGGTTAAACAAGTAGATAGAGTTCTACCTAGCCTGGCATCTATATCTTGGTAAAAGTGTCTGAACTAGATGAGTTAAAAACTGAAAAACAGTCCACCTACTTTCCTGTGGTCCAGCTCCTTTAAGTTTATTCCACTGTGAAATCCAGCATAACCAATATTTCATTTTCAATTTCAACTTGTAAATTACTTCTATAAGAGGAATGTTATAAGAGGTAAGTGATATGTTTTGAGAGCAACTGAAAAGTCTCAAGACCTAAAATTTCCAGCATCTGCAATCAAGTTGTGCTTTCCTTAATCCTTGCAGGGCAAGGTATTTTCAGTGTAATGCAGGTAATTTCATTCATAATCATGAACTGTGTGTTTAAGTAATCAGTTCTACGCATAATTATTCATTCTGGATGAAAACCTATGCCTAGCTTTTCTGAGGACATGTGCACATGTTTTCAAAACCAACCATAAATGCTTTAAAACTTGGTTCTGGACTATCTGCCCATCAATGAAACATAATGGATGTGTATAGAGTTGGTTCTTGGAAGCAAATAGGTTGGAGGGAGCAGTTACTATGGTAGAGGAGTGGGGCTTATTTGTAGTGCCCACAGTGTGCCTATGTTAACAATAATGCTCATTAATTCTTTGAGATCGAGTACCCACCTGCATTATTTCCAATCCTCTGGCCTCTGCAATGTACTCCCCACACACCTCAAGAGCATTCTGAAATGGCCGGAATGAGTCCCAGCTATATGCAAGTTTCCTGCCTATAGCTTCTGGGGCTATTGCTACCCACCAGGCTCTACTGGGAGTCCCCTTGGCGATTGGGAATTTACCCCTTTTGCCAAATCCTAAAATATCTTCTGTGGCTTGGTCATGCTTCTGATATTCCTCTGAGAAAACATTGACTACCACTGGATGCTGCACCTCCCTCACCACCTAACATCTTAAAACAGCAAACACCTAAAAAGCCAAAATGATGCTACCTCCTTTCTTTCCAATATTCCCTGCACTGGAGCCATGCTGTGTTCTGTGAGGAAGAGGAAAGTGCCCACCCCTACTCTGTGCCATTTCATGAGATTGTGATCAAAAGCAGCTCTTTCTCTTGGCTCAAGTGAGGATGTCACTCATCTTGTACCAAATTCACACCTGCTGTTCCTCTTCAGCTGACCTCTCCACCCCAATAATTGTTATCACCATTCTCTCAACCATTCAGATCAAGACTCTTTGAAATCTCTCTTCCAGTCTGCACGTCAAATGATCCAAAAGATTCCACTGACTTCAACACATTATCTGCAAAATCTCCCCTACTTACCTTGCACTCATTTGTTCACTTATTAAAAGCATATTTCTTGGAAAGCAACCTTAGGTTAAACTGTAGGTTGGCACTGTATTCAAATTTTATAATGATGTTATTTCTACTTAGGATGTTTACCTTTTACCCATTCCAGAGACCTCATGCCTAGCAGAGGTAGAGTTACTTTCTTCTGAATTCTGACATTACTTTTCTTGTCATCTGGCATGTATTACTTATTGTTTTATATTCTGTTTATGTCCATCTCTCATTTCTCCTAACAGGATGAAGGTTCTTTTAATGATAGAGGTTAGAGCTTATTCATCCTTTATTTCTCATGTCACACAGTATATAAACCAGGTCACATACTCAATTTGTTGATTGCATGAAAATTTCTTTTATCAGCAATACCTCCCTTGATGTATAGCAAAAGTGACTGAATGGAAATATTAGTCATGTAAATCCTATTTTCTATTGACTCGTATTATGTAATTAAAAATATGCTCCCATTGGGAAAAGCAGTAATACACAGGAAGAAACTGGTGAGAAATGACTAGTTCCATGAAGTATTAAGCACTGCACACAAAAGACAAGTCTAGAGGCTATTGGTCTTCTCTAGTTATTTTTATCTCAGGACACCTAATTCAATAAGTATTTGGTGAATAATGAAATGAAAGAGTCTCCATCCCATTGTAGAAGTCTGTTTTTGTATTTAAACTGTTATTTTAAGTGGGGTGACTGCACCAACATATCTGAGGGACAAAAGTAAAAGCTAAGCTATTGAACAAGTCCAACCAGGAAAAGCTCTGTTGCTCTCTCATCCTACATGTCACAGTCTGTGATGACACAATCATACTTGAGGTAGAGGGAAAAGATGGTCTAAGGCAAATTGCATAAGGCATTCAGAAAAAATTCATTTCTGTCTATTCACTACCCAATCTGCCATCTTTGTTTTTGATACTGGAACTCCAGATCACCCATTTAATCTTGCCTTCTATTATATGCTCTGCTCAACAATAAAATATTCTCTCCAGATCTCCCTGTAAGCATTTGTTGCCTTAGGTTTCAGGGAAGTTCCTCCAGCTTTGAATTCCTTTAGGGTTTTCCTCAATTGTAGAACACTTCATTGTCCACGGGCACACATAGCCAGTAATGTATGTAATAAGTGAGGGTATAAAGGTCTGGTTATTTTAGTCCAATCTGGGGCAACGTTAACAGGCTGTATATGATCCAGAGCCACGGTCAAGTTTTCATCTCTAGCCTGCACCTAACTGGACTTTCACACCTGCCCAATCTGGCTTTTTCTCTCTCTCTTCCATAGGTGTTGATTCTTTATAGATACCTAATGCCTTTTTTATTAAGTTATTAAATTATTAATAAATATCAGTTATTTATTCTAGAGTAAACAATCTGCAACAATTAATATCAGTAATGACCCAAGAAACTAAAATATAAGATGGGGTTTTGAACCCAGGTTTCCTACTGCCGGATTGGCAATGAAAACCTTATCACTGGTGAGGCATGTAGAGTTTGGGCACCAATTGGTGAACCAGTTGGTTAAAACTTTCACCATGCTATCCTAATAGAAGAGTCTGTACCTCCTGATGGCTACAGATGAGATCTGGGAACGGACACTGGCACATGTAGTGGGTGACAAGGGAGTCAAGGTCACCTGCTCCTATATGTGATTTAATTAATCATTGGTTGTAGCCCAGCCAATGTTCTATCTCAGTTTTGCTTTAAAAGTAATGAATGTGGGGGTGGGTAAGACCTCAAGGGATAGAGCTGATTGCACCATGACCTTGACTTACTTCAGAGTCCTTAAATTTCTGGATCCAACTGAACACTAGCAGCCTCTAAGTTACCCAAGTTATGGTCTGGAGCAGTACTCCTAGATGTAGAATGTGTTGGCTGCAGAACCCAGCAAAGTCAAAAAGACACTCAGGCCATAGGTCTCTACAACTTCATAGTTTATCTTCCAACCATGTGTCTTACCAAGGCCTCTAGTATACAAGACTTTCCTTGCTTATCCTGTCCAATTAGCTTAATGTCATTGATGTAATGGGTCAAGCTGATATCATATGGTAAAATATAATGAGGTTCAGATCTCCTTAGACTGTATAATAACAAAAACAAACAGAGTTTAGACAATATTATTGTAGTTAAGATCTCTTTAGACATGATTATGACAAATGTGGTCAGAACTACAAATAAATAGTAATGTGCATTCCACTTGAATGCAAACTGTTTCTGGTCAATTTTCTAATCTTAATAGCAAAGAATGCAGAATCATTGGGTGCATTCCATGTACCCGAGTCTTTAATTTACACTCTTATTCCCAGCAGAGCAGCTATCCAGCTGCTTGTTTGTTGCTTGCATTATTCTAAAGTCATCCTCCAGAATCACTCAGTTTCTACAGACTATCCAGTCTTGCTGGTTAAATGAATATATTATAGGGACCACTGTCCCTACAACATTTAAGACTTTAATGGTGGCACACATCACTGCCACCACATCATCTTTCTCCCAGGATGCCATGTTTTTTGTTTACTCTTTCAGCTGGGAAGGGAGACAGTTTCTGAGGTTTTCACTTGGCCTTTCCTGCTATGATAGTTTTTAATTTATAAGCTAAGGGCCCTGGAGGAATTGTCCCAAATTCCAAGCATACCAACCTCAGTTATACATTTGTAGACTGAGCAATAACCACCAATGTGTGGGTCTGCAAACACACAGTGGGTCTGTGAACACACTATAAGCTAGACGTAGCTAGTATTCCATTTGCTACCTGACCATCTTAAGAGCCCACTCTAACGATGGGGCGAGAAGTGTCATACAAATGCATTGGGGCTCCAGGTACCAACTCAGCTGAAGACCTTATATCCAATGGTTCTTCAAAGTCTAGGTAATCTATCCCCATCCTTGCGTTTTGGCCTCCTTTAGTATTGCTATTAGTGTAATTCTTCTGGCAAAAAAAACCAAAACAAACAAGCAACCTCAGGTATGTTTTTTGTTTTTTTTATTATCTCCCTATATCCTATGTTGCCTTCATATTTAAAGAATATTTTCCATGGGAACAGCATTCCTGGTTATCAGCTATTTTCCTCTTTTGCTTTAAAAGTAATGTTTCATTAACTTCTGATTCACTTCACTAAAAACTAGCTGTATATCTTACTGTTGATCATTTGATGTCCTTTTTCTCTTGATGATTTAAATATATTATCTTTGACTTTGATTTTTTGCGGTTTGACTATGATTGCCTTGATGTACATGGGTTTTTTTTTTTATTTCTCAAACTTAATATCCCTCTAAGATTCCCCTTTAGAAATGCAGGATATATTAATCTCAGCTGCGGGGTTGCTGTCAGCAAGCTCCTCTGACCTGCCAGTCCTTTTAGGAGATGGCCTTGGTTGAAGAGAGTCGCCATAGCCAAGGTTATGACACTTTCTCAAAGATACCCATCTGATTACCTATACAGTGTCTTTGAAGAGCTCTGAAATATCATTGTATCTTTAGCCCCCCACTCCTCATATACACTGGGTCAGCTTAGACTTCCAGAGAGACTCTATCACAGCTCACATTTCCCCTGTACTCAGACTTGCGTTTTTCCCTTTACTTTCTCAGTGCTTATCCCAAATAGCCTCTGAAATAAATGTCCTATATGATTCCCTGAGAACCCAACCTGTAATAATTGGTGTAAAGAGCATTCTGCCAAAGCATAAGTTAGAGTAAGGTTTTGGAATTGGATCACCTACTATTTGGGGAGCAATGAGGAACTCCTAACTTGTAGGTAGAGCAAAGATGGTCTCTGGCACAGGTAATAGTTCAATTGAGTTAGTTTTCACCAATACTCAACTAGAATGGTATACCAGTAGAAAGGAATGATATACCAGAAAATTGGGAAATATTAGAACAAATTGTCATTGGCAGGACAAAGGACTAGCTAGCTATAGCTAAGCTATGCTGATACTTTGAAAATAAAAATAAAAAGTTAAATGTTATTAAAGATCCTACAGAGGAAAAAGACAATAATAAAATATTATGTAAATATTATGTCCGTAAATTTGACATCATAGATTAAATAGACACATTTCTGGAAAAACACAAACGACCAAAGTTCACTCAGGAAAACTGATATCCTGGATAGCCCTGTATCTATTAAAGACAATGAATATGTGGTTAAAAGTGTTTCCACAAAGAACATTTCCTTGGTGAACTCTACCAAACATCTAAGAAACAAATAGTAAGAAAACTACACAAGTTCTTTCAGAAACGAAAATAGCAGGGAATCTTTCTGACACATTTGAGGCCAGCAGTGACAACAAAACTAGACAAAAACATTATAGGTAATGAAAATGACCTCATCATTAACAAACATACACAGAAAAAAGTCTCTGACAAAACAAAATCAAAGTAAATATAGTAATATACAAAAACAATAATATATGATCAAGTGTGGTGTATCCCAGGATTTTAACACTTGAAAAAACAAACAATAGGTACATAAAACAATTTTATACCCGTTCATGATGACATTTTTTATCAGATGAGGACAAGAAGAAACTGCTTGGTTCACTGTATTGCATTGTGCACATTCAGTATGGGCCTTGGTTAATGTCCTGGTTAATAAAGGGGAAACTGCATGTGTAAATGGGCTACTTTCTCTGAGGTTTCTTTTTTCCTGGAATCTTGATCCTTAAGCTAGAGCTTGGGCATCAATTATCAATTTTTTGCCGCCTCAACTCAGTATAATTGTCCTAAGCTTTAGATCACTGCTTTCTGTCTGGCTACTGTGAAACTAGTTATGTGCTGGCAGAGATTGCTAAAAAGAACAAGTGAAGGAAAGTATAGCAGTCACCTCAGAGCACTTCCTGTCTCTCCAGGATCTGATTCCCTCAAGTCTTGGTTACCCTCTTTGCTCCATTAGGTCTCCGAAAGACTGTTTTCTATATTTTATTCAGCTTTAATAGTTGTTAGTGACAGGAAGATTAGTTTAATACAAGTTAGTTTATCATAGAAACAGAAGCCTCTACTTACATTTAATCTCCTTTACCTTTAGATGTATTCAATATGCTCGGTCTGTGTGATCATTTAAATAATTGAACTTTGGGTGGGTCCACTTCTGAGGCATTCTGTATCTGCTGGATTTTGATCATGGAGCACCTCTCCCCCACCCCCCACCCCTGCAGCCTACTCATTAAATGAAATGACTGGCATTTACTTGTGCCATACATCAGCTGTGCTACTCCAAAGATGTTTAAGATTATAATCTCCATATCTTAACCTGAAAAATAGTATAGTCTGCTGGTGTGGCTCAGTGGTTGAGTATAGACCTATGAACCAGGAGGCCATGGTTCAATTCCCTGTCAGGGCACATGCCAGGGTTGTGGGCTCGATCCCCAGTGTGGGGTGTACAGGAGGCAGCCAATCAATGATTCTCTCTCTCTCTCTCATCAATGTTTATCTCTCTCTCTCCCTCTCCTTTCCTTTCCGAAATCAATAAAAAACATATTTAAAAAAAGAAAAATAGTATAAATTTAGTAGATAGATCTATGTTAGAATTTACTTACAGTGGTAAGTTTCCAGATGAAATGTTTTTTCTTACTCCCGAAATCATGGTTTTAAAAAGTGAATATTTCTAAATAGTTTCCTGGGAAGAAAGACAAGTTTATTTCTAGATTCCCTTATACCAAAGTATAGTGCTTGGAGGTTCTAGCCTAATGCAAGGTAAGCACACCTCCTATTATTATAATTCCTACCTGAAGCTGGTCTTGGGCTTTGTATTTTGTCTCCTGAGAGGCCATGAAAGCTCAATATGCCTCCAAATGGCTGTCTCCTTCAAATTTGGTGTCTTCAGGATGGAACTAAAATTCAGTCTCTTGCTAATCCTTCTAGGTTCTCATTTTACTGATTTTTGACATCTGCTTTTCCATTTCTAATCACCAGCCCATTACTATATTTTTTAAAAGGGAAATTTAAAATACTTTATTTTTATTAGTTGTTTTGGGGGAGTGGGGAAGTGATAAGATTCTGTAAACCATCTGACTATAATCACTTTCACATTAATCATTTTAATGGATTCTTACAATTACCTGTGAAATAGTTGTTATTTCCATCACACAAAAAAAGAATGCTGTTCCTGGAGGAGGTAGAGTGACCTGCCACAAATCCACTGCCAGAAAGCATTAGACAGAGCTTTGCTTCCAACCAGATTTTCTGACATTAGATACCATATTCTTTTCATAATATTTTACTGGTCATTGTTCCACCCATGGAAAATAATGAGTTAGGCCTTCAAATTTTACATCAGTTCAAAAGCTGGAAAAATAACACACACACAAAAATTCTCCTCTGTGTCTCACTTACAGATAGCTTTGCAATTTCTCCTGATTCATCAAACAAGCCCAGTTTAGAAAGACCATAGCCATCATCATTTGTGGAGCTATTCAGCCTGGCATCACCAAATAGTCTCCATCAAAAGAACATCTCTGATCGGCAGTATAATGTCAGTGCTGGCTGCCTCCCAGAGAAATTTAATGGTAATACCAGGAGTTAGAGAAAGTCTACACAGATTTCAGGAATATTGCGTTTCTCTACCTTAAAGTTCACATTCTACCTGCTGTGTTGCATTACAATATCCAGATATCACACAAAAACATCACAGCTATACTCCTCACTGTATGTATTTTAATCAAAAATCTTTGATCCATGTGATATTGGCCCCGCAGGCAAAAAATGCCTTTTGGGTTAAGAAATACTCTATCACCAGTGTGAGATCCATTCTTGTTGGTAAAAATATTTCCAGAAAAATCAAGGGGAAAATAGCATACTTACACAAAACAAGTAGATTGTGTGAGAATTAGCGAAAGGTATTATTCAGATTGATGAGATCTTCATCTTCATCCTCTCCAATTTAGAGAAGTATGTAGTTTGCACTACATTTGTTTTTATACAGTAGCCACTGTCATAAGGGCTTCTATCTTTCCTTTGCATGCCTTGCTTCAGCCCTTTCAGGACAGTCCTTTTGGAAACACATATGCAGGATTTAGCTGCAAAGAAATACATTGCTGGCTTTGGAAATTCTTGCAATTTGGGAATTCTTGCAAATGTCAGTTGATGTTTTTTGTGCTTTTTTGCTGAATTCCATTTGTCTAATAACTTCTACATTTTTTTCAGATATATAATTTGGAGGACAAACTTATTCTTCACAGGTGGAATAATGACCAGTAAAATATCGTGAGCAGAATGGGGTCTAGTGTCAGAAATTCTGTGCACCTGTCCTACTTGGGTATCTCAGATTCTCTAGGTGTTTGTGGGGTGTGTTTTTTTTTTTTAGAGCGTTAGAGCACTGAGGGATTTTATATACTAAGAAATAATTAAGAAACAAAGGAAATATTTTTATTACCCATGTGGATTTATTACACTTATGGGGGCTTGAAGTTCTAATATAAATTCAGGCCACTGATTGTTCCCTAAAGTTAGAAAAAAATACCATACTTGATCTATGGCCCCAGAGCAGAGAGAAACATGGATAAGGTATTATTGTTGCTAATTTTTCTAATCTTATTTTTCCCCAGCTTTATTAAGTATAACTGACAAATAAAAATTGTATATATTTAAGGTGTACAACTTAATGTTTTGATATATATGTAGACCACAATTAAGCTAATTAACATACTCATAATGTCTCACAGTTACCATTTTCTTTCTTACTTTTTTTTGTAGTGAGAACACTTGGGATCTACCCTCTTAGCAAATTTCAAGTATATAATACAATATTATTAACTGTAGTCATGTTGCTTACCTAATCTTATTTTTAAAAGGGAAAGGAATAGTGAGCAATTAAGAGATTCCCCCAAATAGACAGTTCCAGCAAAATCCAGGCCTCCTTCATTGAGGCAAGGTATATGATTTTAAAACACTGTTCCCTTTCCCAGCTAGTCTGTGGCTCAGTGGTTAGCTTTGACCTATGAACCAGGAGGTCACAGTTCCATTCCCAATCAGGGTACATGCCCAGATTGCAGGCTCAAGCCCCAGTAGGGGGCATGCAGGAGGCAACCAATCAATGGTTTTCTCTCATCATTGATGTTTCTAGCTCTCTCTCCCTTCCTCTCTGAAATATACATATTTATTTATATATGCACTGTTCACCCTCAGTGTAATTACGTCTTTATAACCACTATGGGGGGAAATTGAGAAAAAGCACATTCACCTTTGAAAGAGGCTGCCCTGTCCCTGGCCTCTGTTGTCCTCTTCTTTTCATACTCAATTCAGTCTCTCTACTTCTGCAGTTCTTTCACCAAATCACTTCATTATTTAGTTGGCTCAATAATACTGAGATCAATATGGCTCTGATCTTTTGTCCTATTTCTAAAAGTTGGTCCCTTTTTCTTAATCATAAAGTGAGATAAATTGTATTTGGGTTTTGGACAATGAGGCTCAAGTCTTAGGTCCACTTGTTCCACTTCTATGGGAACGTATGCACAGGTGACCCAGTGCGCCTCATTTGGATATACCAATACAGACGTCAAAGGGTACTTATTATTAATTAATTAGGCCAAGCTTAAACTAAAACTCAGAAGAGAGGAGACACAGAAAACAAAATGCAAGAATCACACAGGTTTATTTACCAGAGAGCTGATGGATTTCAGTCCTTGGCAGGCCACCCAGGGACACTCGCTGACAGAGACACACGGAGGTCATCAGGTACGCAGCTGCAAGATGCTCAGTCTCTTGACACGAAGAGAGGCCTCTAACAGTCTGGGCTCAGAAGCAGAGCAGAAACGGCTGTTTCCAGGGAGAAGGAGAACGTCTTGTCTGTGGAGGTCAGACAGGCATCTAACTGCTGCTGTGAGAGTCCTTCTTTTTATACCCGATGGATGGGCTTCTTCAGTGTCTCATATCGGTGTGCTCTGGGGGTGCCTTCTGGGCTTATCAGGATAAACATGCAGGGAGTTACAAGTTGTTTACCAGGGGGCATAGGCATGGAGTTACAAATTATTTATCAGGGGTGTATATGCAGGGAGTTACAAGTTATTTATCAGGGTCACACACACACATACACAAGTTAGTTCCTCTTCTAAGTAAAGTTAAAATTCCCTCTAATACAAAATGAAATTTGCTTATGCTAACTTATACTAATACAAAATGGAGTTTGCTTATGCTAACTTATATTAACTAAACTTATTACTATAACACCACTAATTTTAGAGGTCTGATTTTAAACATGGTACTTAACCTTTTGAGGTTTTAATTCTCTCTTATTTTTTTTTATTTTATAAAATAAGGCTGATAATTCATACCCTGAAGAGTGTTTGTGCTAACCAAATGAAGTACTGTGCATTAAAGTGTTTGGGACATAATGGACACTCAAATATTGGTACCTTTGTCACTGAGAGTTATGGCACAATATAGATGATGAACTCAAAAATTAATTAAATATAATTAATTATAATACTTTATACAGAGGGATAAACAGCAGATGGTGAAGCACAAAGGTATTAACAGCAAATGGAAGTTGTTACCAACCTAGGCCTAAATAGGTAGAGGGATCTGTGTTCCTTAACCTACTGAGAGCATAGGCATATGTGAGAGGCTGCTGACATGACTCATTGCCTTTAGAAAAAGAAAGCAGCTGCTGCCCAAATCCCCCTGCTGAGGGTAGAGGAGTGGTAGGTGAAAGAAGAAATAATATCATAATCTTTCCTCTAAATGTCCTGGAATTTTTATTGACTGATCCCAACTTGAAATTAGAAGGCAAGAAAGTCCACATAATGCTGTCCATAGCCATCACCTCCCTGGTACACAGAGTGGCACTAGAAGGATAAATATCAATTTAAAGGAGCAAATGGAGCCCTGGCTGGTGTGGGTAAACAGTTAGAGCCTCCACCTGCACAACAAGAGACTGCAGGTTCTATTCCAGTCAAGGGCACATACCTGGTCTGCAGGTTCATTACCAGCCCTGGTTGGGACTCTTAGTGGGTGGGTGGGAGGCAACCAATTGATGTGTCTCTCACATTGATGTTTCTCTCTCTTTTTCTCCCTTCTCCTCTCTTCCTCCCTTAAACTCTATCTAAAAGCAATGGAAACATATGCTGGGGTGAGGATGAAAATAAAACGAAGGAGCAAATGGAGAACCCTCAGCACAGTTTATTTTCTTTTCCTTCCACTACCCTCACTCCAGTGTGCTCTATTTATCTACATTGATCACTTTTCCTACTATTAGCTATCAATAGGTTGTGAGGTCTTTGAAGGCAAGGAGAGTATTTATTGATGATTCCAGTGTTTTCTAAAGGATGCTGATTTAAACAGGCCATGTGCGGTAAATGCAACCTAGTATATACTTCATTTGGAAAAGAATATTAGCAGGATAAATGCTTTCAACAGTTCTGTGGAAAATGATAGCAATAATAAATATTTGCTCACAAAATTATATTTAAAGAATGCCATTAATACATAAGCACTAGTTCCAGAAAATGCAGTTTTAAGAAGTATTTCACCCCTAATGCCTCATCTAGGATGCAGAATGTGCTGTCTATTCAATAGACACATGGTAAATGAATAAATTAACGGGGTTCCTCTATAACTGACCCTGAATTGCTTTTACTAAAGCCTTTACTTTCACATCTTTTCCCCCTCCAGAAACTGGAATCTTGTTTCCTAGGAGTTTGATTGACTCAACTTGCACATTTCTCTCAAGGTATCTACACACCTAGCTGCCTGTAGGTGATCTAGTTGTATTATGAATGAACAGTAAACATTATTATCATCATAGAAATCTCCACATTTTGCCTTTACCTCAGGCTTTAAAATATGATGCTCTGTCTTACTGAGTTTGGGGAGATACTGTTTCTCCTGAGAACAGTGTCAAGACTACCGGAGGCATCTGACTGAATTCACAAGATGCCTCCTTCCAGTCACCTGCCTTAGCTTCCTTCAATAACCTGAGTGTGTGCCCCTGGCATCAATCAGCCTAATCCCATGATCCCATTGGCTCAGTTTCTGAGCCCTCCCAAGGAATGCTGACCACATTTCCTTTCCATACACAGACTCTTGACTGTGTAGCATCACCTGATTTATTTATTGTCTAGATTAAAAAAATCCATAAGGATGACATAATATTCTGTAGAACTTCCTTGAAGTCCTACCAGGCCTTCTGCACATCATCATAGCTCCTTTCTGTCTTTGCATAACATTAAACATGAAATTAAATCAAAATATACAAAGGAGCGTCAAATTAAATGAATAAACAGAGGTGACGAAGAAAGCAAGATTCGAGAGGAGAGTAACTGTATTTTATGAAAAGGGATGCTGGTCTTAGCAAATAAAAGAGACAGAAAGAATAAGAGGCCAGGAGAGAAAAGGGTGATTCTCATAGAAGAGATAAACTCCTTAATAATCATCCAAGTTTAGGCCTTTCCATCCTCTCTTCCTGATTTAGTGACAATGGGAACAGACTGGTGGGAAAGGGTCCATTGTTACACAGAAATGCATGCACTCTTGAGATTTAGAATTGAAAAGCATTGATCCCAGGACAGCAGAGACTGATCAGAATGACTTTGTCCTGTGGCTTTATTTCCACAAATTCCCTGGACAGTGAGAGACTGCTTTCTGCATTTTAAAAAGGATACATGTGAATGTACATAACATAAATTGATGAACTAAAATTGATCCAGAGACATAGAAGCATTGAACAGACCATCCAACCTCAGAGGGAAGGCAGTGGGGGTATGTTAGGAGGTGGAATGGGGGGTGAGAGATCAACCACAGGACTTGGATGCATGCATATAAGCATAACCCATGGACAGTCAATAGGGGCATGGGGTGAGGGCATGTGCTGGGGGTGGGAATGAGCCAGGAGAGGTCAATGGGAGAAAAAGCATTCATATTATTTAAACAATAAGGAATTGTTTAAAAAATCAAAGTTTTCCTCTTCTAGTCAAAGAAGCATGTCAACATATACCACAAAGTCACAGAGTGGAAAAGTCATGCCTCATGCGCCTTCCCTGATTACCAGCTGAAGAGAACATCTGGCCTAGAATTCAGCCTCTCTGATTGTATTGGTGAGGGTGCAACTAGGGAAGCAGACGCACTGGGAGATATAAAACAGGAATTTATTATAGGGATTAAACAGTACACCTTGTGGAAGATGATAAAGACGTCTGCGGACATTCTTGTTGCATCTGGCAATGACCTGAAGTTTCTATAAGTCAGCAGAGTGGGCAGCGCGGAGAAAACCTGGACATGAAGCAAAGGACTGTGAAAACAAACTGGAACCCAGGAGGGCAGAATAAAACCCACATCTGTATCCAGTCTCAACAATGTGGTGCTTTGCCTAAGAAGCTGGTGGTGCCCTTCATTACTATGTTACATACTGGGTGTGCAAAAGTAGGTTTATAGTTGTGAGTACCCAAAAGAGGTTATTCTTGTATTATTATTTATTAATTATTGTGTTATTTATTTGTATTATAATTGTAAAGCTACTTTTGCCAAACCCTAAATATGCCTGGCCCAGGAGTTAGAGAAGCCAAATGTAGTGAGAAAGGACCTGGAAGCTCCAGACCAGAGGGTCTCTCTCCCCAGGTGACAATACGCATGTGTTTCAATGGCACCGGTCATGCTACACCGACCTTCAGAGCCTAATGACTGCTACTGCTCTTCCTCCTTCTAAATTTTGGACAAATCTCCCTAATGGCTCATCTTAACCCAGAACCACACAGAGAAGGGAATTCTGGAAAGCATAGTTCTAACTTGGAGAAGTTGACATAATATAAAACCACAGGAATCATACTTTATGTTTGAAATTAACAAACTCAGAAAGGTACCTGAAGAGAATCTGGGAACAGTATCTCTATCAGCCATGGGATTTCAACAGTGGGTTGGAGCATGAAAAACCTCACAGGTATTGAGACCAAATAGCCACATGTCTATTTATTCTGATGCTGTGAGAATATGTGGTCATGCACTCTTCTATTGTCTGCAAAAAACGAATGATTTCTCTGTCCTGTACCTGTCTGTCAACTTTTTTACTCAGCAATTAAAGATAGTTCATTATTAATGCTAAAGCCTCTCTGTGTTCTTCTGCCAGAGTATTTGGTTAATTTTCAAAGCACTTTCCATAGGAGTCTAAAGAAAAGAAAGCAGATGAAAATCTGTCCAAAAATATTCTGAAACTGAAGATTAAACTGTGAGTGCAAATTACCAATCTGAAAATAAAATGCTTTACTGCATGTGCTGGTTTATACTTGATTCCTGTTGAAAGGAGTTGCCTTATGAATGATCAATCAACATTATCCTCAGAACAATGTCACACTATTACAATTACGATACATCAAAAATGCAAACTTAATTGCTTAGCTCTTAATGAAATACAAAAGCCTCATTTTAATAACATTAAGGTCATTGTTCAAATGGGAAAAAAGCATATAGTCAAAGTTAAGGCTTCAAGTATTCATTTTAACCCTTTGATGTCAGCCTAAAATAGCTCATAGAGGTTCCAGACCTCACTTCTATGCCTCCCATCATGAACAGTAGAAGGTGTCCTTTCAAAATTTAGTTGGCTGACTTTTGTGGGAAAGAACATGGTCCTCAGATTTACAACTCAATTTATTTCATCTGGCTCAATCTGAAAGTAGATTAAATTATACAATTGGGTCAAATTTTCACAAAGCAACATACTTCAGGCAAGCTTTTGTATGTCTAATAGATGTAGCTGCAGTATCTTTTGGATAATTCTAAGAAAATACATATATTTGGATAATTCTAAGAAAAAATAGAGAGAGAGAGAGAGAGAGAGAGAGAGAGAGAGAGAGAGAGAGAGAGAGAGATATTGAGATGGCTAAGATATATGGCTATGTCTA